GATGGGCGGTGTGAAAATATGCACAATATGGACTATAATTTAGCGAGCTTTGTTTTTGTGCCTCAATGCATGGGGACAGGAATAGACTCCATTAGATGGCGTAGTAGCAACTGGTCCTAAACTTTTATACGGTCACAATTTAGATGATCTTTCGAATTAGATTTACTTATTATTGCAATGAAATCTACTGATTTGAAACGTGCACACTGCACAATATAGCGACGAAAAGAAATAGTAATGGAAAAATATTTTGTTCTATTGGAAATGAAAGTTTTTAAATTGGTGTGTAGAAACTGATTGGTTAACCGAATTCAATTTTACTATTCAGTTTTATACCGAACTCGGGCATATATTTTTAATTCCCTCATCATAATTTCGTACATTACTTTGACAATATGTTGTTCATTGAACATATGCAAGTCATGAATTAAATGGAGATTCTTACGTTGTATTTCAAGTGAGATTGCATGTATTAAAATTTGGCCTTTGATATCCACAATCTCTTACTTTGAGTTTCTTGACAATTTTTTTGAATCGATGAATAATGCAGAGGGGAATTAGACTCATTATTGAAATTAGACTTATATGGAGAAATAATTCTCAATATGATTTAATAATATAATTTAATCATGAAATCATAATATAATTAGTGATATAATACTATTGGTGTTCTTTTAAGAGATCTTCTCGAAATCAATGGTTGGAGATCATCATAATCATTGTCAATTCAACGTCCTAGGGCTGGCCGTACATGCGGCTCCGATAATAACATAACGGGCCGTTCACGACGCTGTTCCAAACCGGTCGCGAATGCGGGACGTTTCTGTTATTCGGCAAACTGAGAATTAACGACGTCTGCAGTAAAATTATGTGGTTTTAATAACCCTTGACGACTGCAATAACTGCCAGCATGAGGGATGAGACTGCTTTACGACTCTAGGATCTTGTTTCGACGACTTCTTCGCTCAGTCTCTGCGCTTTGTTACTTTTGTATCGGGAAGTTTATGTTCCATCTGAATCTTCTGTATTTGTTGTATTTATTTGAATGTGATTTTTTTAAATATCGCTTCGCAAATGGTTACTCAATTTATCATGAAAAATTTCTTAACGTAATGTTGCACGGGCATTGCACGGGTGTTGCACGGGCGTTGCACGGGCGTTGCACGGGCGTTGCACGGGCGTTTCACGGGCGTTGCACGGGCGTTGCACGGGCGTTGCACGGGCGTTGCACGGGCGTTGCACGAGCGTTGCACGAGCGTTGCACGGCGTTGCACGGGCGTTGCACGGCGTTGCACGGGTGTTGCACGGGCGCTGCACGGCGTTGCACGGGTGTTGCACGGGCGCTGCACGGCGTTGCACGGGTGTTGCACGAGCGTTGCACGGGTGTTGCACGAGCGTTGCACGGGCGTTGCACGGCGTTGCACGGCGTTGCACGGGCGTTGCACGGCGTTGCACGGCGTTGCACGGGCGCTGCACGGCGTTGCACGGGTGTTGCACGGGCGCTGCACGGCGTTGCACGGGTGTTGCACGGGCGTTGCACGGGCGTTGCACGGGCGTTGCACGGGCGCTGCACGGGTTTCCACGTAACTCTTGATGCACAATAATTATTCGTCCTGCGAGCCGAGGTTACCGAGAAGAAGAGGGCGCTGGAAAAGTGCCCTACTTGGTCACGGGATCTTCTTGTGTAATCCTCAGCACGTGGGACTTTTCCCACACCCAGAATGGATGCAAGAGCCCTTAAAACAGAGCTGGAAACTCCTGCTTGGATGGCTTCGACTGATCTCTGCGTCTTGTGAATCGGGAAACTTCGTTTCTTGGTAGAAATAAAAAAGTGTTCGTTGAAAATCGTCAACGCTGATTGCCCTGTACTGATCTTAAATTTAATATTGAGCTTTAATTCTGCACTTTGTATCTCATGAACGAATATATGTATGTGGTGAGTTTGAAAAATTTGTAGGCTGCGTTTTAATCATGTTTCGGTAAGACTTTAAATTGCAATAAGTAATTTTTAAAGGTTGCGTTCTCATAGATACCACTGAAAAACTTTTGGAGGAGAATTATTAACAAGACATTAATTCTGGAATGTCTTGTTTACCATGATGTTATTTTACAGGATTTTTCATTATACTTTTTGCGCAAAGAACAAAATTTTTACCGAGTTACCACCTGTAAGTAATATAAGTCCCGTATTCATGTGGGAATGAAAGGTAATGGAATTATTTCATACATCATGCATTCTAGAGACGAACCACATAATTAAGATTAATTGTATTCTGGAATGTCAACTTAGGAAAATAACTTGATGAGAAAAGCTCAATTGTTCATCCTTTTTTACAAGTTGCGGTAGTCCACATGAGAATATTTTTTAATGGACGTTTGACACATATGCAGGCTTCGGCTAACCCCTGAAAATAAGAAATTTTCCCCTTATGATCCGAAGATGATCAACTTTTATGATAAAATATTATACACGACCTCCAAATGCTTCCAACATGTGCTAGGGAAGAGTAGCGATCGTGCATATTATTCTCGCAAGCAAATGAATTGTAAGTTGGCAACCACATTTCCTTCAAAATATTCGCGTAATAATCTTCTTGTATGTTTGAAGAGTCTCTAAATTTAGTATCAAATTATATATATGATGTTGGGGTCTACAATCAATTAGTTATGATAGAAGATTAATAAAAACACGTAGAAATCGTTTTTGCATGGGACTTGGTAATGGGCATGAAAAAATAATAGTAGACATGAGTGATGTAAATTTTAGTAAAAAATCATTACCATATACATTAAAATATTAATACTAATAATTATTACTATTAATTACTAACTGGTTAACGGCTCAATTATTTCAATCAATTCCTTACTCTTCTATGGACCAGCTATCAAATTAATTTGCAACCCTACAACAGACAAAAATTATTTGAAATAGGTAGCCCCGCAACGGGCCAATTATCATTAGTAATTTATAATCTTTTACCAAACAAATTATCGCGATTAATCGATAATAGCATAAAACTTCAGTAATCACGAATAATCGTCCACCTTCCTTCGAGTAAGCGATAATTTTTCCCGGTGTTAATTATTCCATGCAGGATGGTCCGAATTAGCGATAATTTTCCTGGTGTTATATATGAAATAGCTTGAACGCATTGAAGATCAACAGCAATGCAGGCCCTACGACGAGGTAATGAGGTAACAGCTAATCAATTGAAATAACTGCATGGTCATGGGGCCCTCAGATGGCCTTCGGGTGGCCGGCCATAACGCGGCCAAACTACGTGGATCTTAAGGAGCCATAGATGATCTCAGGGATCAGATGCACAGTCACACAAGCCGAGTGGGATCATTTCGGGCTGGAGATCTACAACTCAGGGGATTTGCTCATGGGGAATGAGAGGGATTTTTGAGAGACTCAGATGGGATTTAGGGGTCCAGAGCGCTTTTTCAGAGTAGAATATTCCTGAAAGGGGGAGGGGGGATTTTTAGCGTGAGGTAAGAGGAGGGAAGGTGAGGCATAATATGTTTTGTGGGGCGCTTAGGAGGATTTAGGTGTCTTATGAGCCTGTGAAGGGGTGAAGCGAGGGTGGTGGTAGTGTGATGGTAGTGTTATGGATTAGTGAAGTGGTTGTGTTATGGTAGTAGTGTGGTGTAGTGGTGGTGTGATGTTGGTTGTGGTGGTGGTTGCGGTAAGGTAGTGTTGGTGTAGAGGTGGTAGTGAGAATGGGTGAGTTCACGAGCTCTCTGACACCTACAAGTGACTTTAGTAAATCTTTTGATCCCGTCTTGATCGTACGTTTATGCCTCAGTATTGCGAGCATAAAATTAGAAACAGCATTTTGCATCAGCTGGCCCCAGTTATCACGGTAGTCATATCTACCGTTACCTCCGTGACCTCTGTAGCCACGCCCCTTGATGGCAGACGATGAAGGTGGTGCATCAGCGCTTCCATGCTCGAGGACGTCCTAAACTTTGATTGTATGGTGGAGCTGGTTGGGGTTACGACGCTTGTGGTGATGTGGATGATGGTGTTGGGGGGGTGCTGTTAGGGTGGCAGTATGCACGTTCGCCTAAATTATTGGTCATAGCCGACGTTAAATTTTAATCTCCAGAAAAGTGTCATATAGGAACATGCACGATTTTTCTAAACTCTTCGCAGGAAGTTATTTGTCAAACCCCTCATCATTGCGTCCTTCGCACCCCACTAAATTTGTAGTAAATAACGGAAGGCGGAGGTCTGAAATCTCCTCAATATTTCCTGCTATGTTAAATCTTGACTGTATTCTGAATGTGAATGTTTCCTCCATATTAGCTTCATAACGAGTTCTTTGGCGAACTTGATTCAGTACCGCTATGTTCCTTTGTTTACACAAATTATGAAATACGGAAACATCCTTGCAAGGAAATCATTTCATTTCTTCTAGAAATAGGTAAGGTTTTTCTTCTTGCTAAAAAAATGTATGAGTAAGCATCGGAAGCTTGGATAAGTCAGAGCTTCTTTAAGAAACTTTAGGCGGTCAGGCTCAGCTTACTGCAAGTCATCGTATCTCGTGTCTTCTGCAGTTGTGTTTCCTGAATTAGAAATTTTCAGAACTACATGACACAAAATTTGCCAATTGTGAAGCAATGTTTTATAAAACTTGCTTATTTAAGTTTTAATAATTGGTAAGAGCTTTTCCTGCGCTTGCAATTAACCACAATTGGCCAAGAGTTGGCTGGAGAAGACGCTGTGAATGAGCTATGGGAGGCTGAGCATAATTTTTTACTGATAGCGTTGTAGGTTATCTTGCGCATTTAATTCAGATCAATTACAGTATTTGTTTATGCAGACTTAATTAATGGAAGAAAAAACACAAAAACAACGTAAAAACGGAAAAAATAAGAAGCCTTTCATGTGAAAGATGAATTTTACGAAACTGACGTTTCGGAAAACTCTCAAATGACATTGAGCGAATTAAAGCGAAAACTATTTAATAATACAAGGGAATTGAAAATCACACTATTGAAACACATGTATTTTATTGATTCCTGTTTCACAGCTCGTTTTATAAAAAAAATTCCGTGTCGTTTCGAGTTAAAAGTTTCTCAACTGAAGAAAAAATGCTGGTCCAGCCGAACAAGATAAGTGAATTTTTTTCAGCATAAGGAAATGAGCAGATATGGCAGTTTGAGAAAATTATCAAGAAAATCGCAAATATTCACGTACTTGTATGAAAAATACAGAAAGCAATTCCGATTAATTTTAAATTGAAGCGTCAAAAATTTTCTACTTGAAAATCATGCACACAAAATTTGGCATCAGAAGTATTAGATTCAATGTAAGTATTGCAGACAAGTGAAGTTCTAAAAATTTGTGAGGTATTTTTTTGCGATTCTGTGAAGATGCTTCAAATTCTTGAGCGCTCCTTGATGTGAAAAGAAAATTATTCATTAAAACCAGTTACATAAAGGACATTCTAGTGCAGCTGCAGTACTCAATACCAGAACAGTCCCTGGCAGAACCGATTTTGAAGACAAATAATACATAGCAAAAACCACCTTATTGATATTCTCAACTGCAGTCGAATTCTAGACATTACAACCAATGAACATGAAAAATATAATGTACTAGCCGCACTAATAAAGCTAAGTGGCACTAGAGAGTACAATGATATGCTAATAATATATACATATCTACACTTGAAATATTCGATTCATAATATTGCGTACGCGTTCGAACTCAACACGACTTTTAAGAAAATTTAAGTGTGAACTGTTACATTCGAAACTGCAATGCTACAGATATTATTGCATATATTCGACAAACTTTAAGATCGCTATGGCAGAAAAAATCTTTCAATACTTTTTAACATTTTCAGAGAGCATTATTAGTCAATAAACAATATCTTTTGGCATCATTTTATGCTTGAATTAATTTGTTATATTCGTAAACAAATTGTTCTTCCAAGTCTCAATTTCTGGACAACAAATGCTTGCAAAAGTTGAAAGACTTCGAGACTTGGAAATCATAAAATCATCCAATAACCAAAACATAATACTAACAAATCACAAACTATATAATGAAATTGGAAGTAAATTATGCGACAGAAAATTCAGGATTGTGAAGAAAATATACGATGCATTGTTGAAGCCGGTGGCTTTATATTTAGAATAAATCTTCGGTATGACACGCATGTCAATTAATGACGAAGTCAACAGGTGCAATTTTTTTCAAAAACTAACATTTATTTCAACATGGCAAACACTGAAAGATATCTTGATAAATTTCCTAGCACTGTAAACCCTTCGGTGGGCAACCTTGTAAAGCGTTCATTTTTCCTGTTTTTGAATGTTTGAGAAACCTGTAAATAATTAAAATAAAAAAGTTAAATTTCCTCCATAACAAGGATCTCAAGGCAGTTATTTTCAAGTCGATGGCATTTGATATATAGAGAAGGCAGCATAAAATTAGTATAGCTTGCCAGGGCTTGACTCCATTACTAGCTACTACAATTTCAATGCTCACATCTAAATCAATATTTAATTGTCCATCAATCGTGTTGTCAAAAAATCATAATTTTTGTTAGCTGCTTAATAATGTTGGTGACTGTGGTCACGACTAATGCAGTGATTAATGTTGGTGATCGTGACTGCCACTAACACATTGGTGCCAATAATTGTTTCGTCAGTCGAAACGGAAATTTTCTCATCCTTGCCACTCGTGTTCATAGAAGCCGGAGAAATCTGTTGGACGAAAATGTAAATAAATAAAAATTGAAAAAAACTGGTACCTTTCAAAAATTCATTCGTTGAAATAATTTTATTGAATGTGCCATAGTTGAAATGAGTTGAGTTTGCCACGAAAATTTAATTTTTTGGCAAGACTATCTCATTTCAAACAATACAATACACGAAATTGATACATCGACTGGTTTGCATATCCAATTTATATTATCTATATACATCGATGGACCTCATTTAGCTTGAACTTTATAGATTATTTCATCGAGAATTATCATTATTTCCTTCTATAAAAAATTCAATTATGGCGTCATACACTTGTGCCCGAAATTATACATACCCCTTCAGAAATTTAATAAAATTCCAATTTTAATGAACAATAGAGATCATTTACAACTTATTCTTCTAGGAAAGGTTGTCATTATTATGTACAACAAATTTAATGCTAGAAAATATGTATATAATAACTTTCGATAGTAATTACTTTGAATTTTGTGAGTAACTAACCATTCAGAATTATTTGTACCCTCTATTCCAGATCGTTTATCATAATATTTGAGAAGAACTATTAATGAAAATAGTAGTAGATACTCAATGATTGTATTTAAAAATTTGGTGTTACTAAGCATTGTAATATTTTTCTCTGCAAAGTTTGAACATATAATTTTTTTACAATTTAGGAAAAAGCTAAAATTTTGCTAAAAGTTCGAAGATGGCAAAGAAAAAAGAGCTTAGTAATGATCTCGGAAGCAAAATTATAAATTCCCGCAAAGAAGAGATGAGATATGTAGCAATATCTAAGAATTTTGATGTTCCTACGTCTACAATACAGAGCATTATAAAAAAATTCAAATCATTTATCACGGTGGATAACCTGGTTGGTCGAGGTACCAAAGGAAAAATCTCCCCTAGATGTGCTAGAAACATAATACGCTCCATTTACAACAAAGAATGGAAGAATGGAAAAAACTTAGCGTCGATACATGCAGGAACCTTGTTGACCATTGCCCAAAGCGTTTACAACAAGTTATCACGAGTAAAAAGGCCATGTTATCAACTATTGATTCAGGGTATGAATAAATTTGGTCATGAGTCAGTTTTATGTTTCCTTTGAATCTCTTTACGAAACTGAAAAAAATAAAGTTTTTTGATTTCTAAATACATGTTATATGGTTCATGAAAGGTTTACATCTGCTTTAAAGTTTTAGATAATTATTTTTTGGTCTATTCCTCGTAATTTGTCAAAATGACGTTAGGGTATGAATAATTTCGGGCACAAGTGTATAGTATGAAACCTTGAGGATAAAATCGTGCCGTCTGGATATCTCACCTAATTTCGTCGTCTGGATAACTCACCTAATTGCTACATCTGGGTAATAATAATTTAATTACCAATAATTAATAATAATAATAATCTAATCGTGTCGTCTGGACAACGCACCTAATTGCTCCGTCTGGATAACCCATCTAATCGTGCCGTCTGGACAACTCACCAAATTACACAGTCTGGGTAACCCATCTAATCACGCCGTCTGGATAACTCACCTAATTTGTTAAGAAGACCTAGTCGTTGAGCGGAGATGCCACGCCGGTAGCGCCCACCCAAGGGTAAGCCTCGGGACATTTTTGACACGTTCGCATGTAGCGCACGCCTCCCTTGTGCCACACGTTGCACACGCGGTGCGAAGTGCAGCGCGCTGGTCGTTCCTGCAACACAACTCAGGTTAGCAGCCTGGAAGTTCATGCAACACACGAAAGGAAACTCTTGGTGAAAGGGTCAAATTAAAACGAGGTGGTCACTCCTGCAATTGGCCTAAGAAAACAAATGAGCGTCGAGAAATGCAAGAGAAGGGAACACTGGATAAGGACATTCATATGAAAGAAAATTTCAGAGAAATAATAGTTTCTCTAACGCTGCTGATGGTATCAGCTTGAAATATCTTGCAACGAAAATTGTGGGTAAATTGAAACGTCGAGTGCATAGTGCAGTCACTCCGTTGAAATTATTCCAGCAAATGTGAACTTTAAAGTTTTGTGAGAAAACCTACATTTTTTCAAGTGCTTTCTTACGTAACTAGTAAGGACAGCGCTTCTGTAATACAATGTCATTGGAAAAACGTAATTTGCACAATATTTCCCGCTTCTGCTCACACTATATCGAATTTTGATTTTTAAATTAAAAAAAATAATCTAGGCTTCACAAGTTTTGTGCGTTTGCACTCATTACCTGACAACGAGCATTCATTACATGACAAAAATTAATGAACGTGTTAATAGTTAATTAAGAATAACAATAAAAGAGTTATTACCTTACCCCTTAAAGGGAATCATAATAATTAAATTCATAATAACAGCAGTACTACAATACTCCGGAACTTCTACACTGAATTATGTAGGGGGTGTTCACTGCATATTGCAGGCCGGTGGCTGCTGCACAAATTCATCACGGAATGACTTTTGGGAAATAAATTTGTTAATGGTGAGTTACAGTTGCAATTATAAAGCTTGCATTTAAAGATTAAATAATTAAATAAACGCTTTGCTGCTATTTTGTCTTAAAATAATAGCTGTATGCGCACAGGAATTACTAGTTCGAGTAGGAAAAAATAATAGTATAATGTGAGAAATACAATGATATGCGTATGAAGTAGATAGAAAGACAAAAGAAACAAAAAAATACGAAATAAATTAAATGATATCCATAAAGGGCATCTGAGCTGGACAAAAAAAAAAAGAAACGAAAATTAAAACGATTAATAACAGTGTTATAAGAACGAGATAACTGCCCTGAAAAAAGGGAAAATGACAGGCATTAGGTAAGCTATACATGGAAGATGTAGCAGCAGAAAAGAAATGAAAAGTACATTCCACATGTAATTGATGCCTGCAATGCATTTAGTATGAGTAGCTGCACTGAAAAATGCATGTGCCAGGTTGCATCACAAAAGAATGACATTTAACTAGCAATTTATGCAATTCATTAAGTGGGCAGTAGCTGCGCTGAGGAAATTGAATGCAAAAGTAATTGATACAATGCAATACGTACGAGGTGGCAGTACAGAAATAAAAGAAGTGACATTAGTAATGCAACGCAATACGTACGTGGTAGTAGTACAGAAATAAAATAAATGACATAAGTATGTTATTGATGCAATGCAATACGTACAGGGTTGCAGTACAGAAATAAAAGAAATTATATAACTATGTTACTGATGCTATGCAATGCGTACGGGGTGGCAGTACAGTATTAAAAGAAATGACATACAGCATGTTATATCGATGCAATGCAATACGTACGGAGTGGCAGTACAGTATTAAAAGAAATGACATACAGCATTTTATATCGATGCAATGCAATACGTACGGGGTAGTTGCACTGGAATGGCTTGAAGCTTTTAGCTTGGGACAGAGGCACAGGGTCGCGCATCCACTGCAAGGCCTGCCAGTTAGTGACCAGCCACACGTCAGGCATGCCAGAGATTGTGTCCAGGAAAGCGATGAAGCCTTCCTTGTGGTGCGCCGTCGTGAACCAAGCGGCGTGGTAGAACAGACCCATGGGAGCCCTGAGGACGAGTAAACGATTCCATAATCATGATGATACTGTAGGTGGAGTCACAGAAACTTCGTGAGTAAGATAAAAAAATACGGTAATTATCTAGTCTGATGGGTGAAGTAACATAAATTTACAGTAGTACGATTAAATTATGCGGTAATTCCTTAGAGCGACGGGTGAAGTAACATAAATTTACAGTTGTACGTTTAAATTATGTGGTAATTCCTTTGGTCGGTGGGTGAAGGAACATACATTTACACGAGTACGATTAATTTATGCGGCAATTCCTTCGGTCGATAGTTGAAGTAAAATTAATTTATTTTGCATCGCAGAAGAGAGTATGGTTGATAGCTTATATAATAGATGAAACTTATTTGATAAAAGTATTATTAGGAATTATTGATTTGCTGATTATCTAGTTCTGAATAGTCACTAACTGGGAGGTATTAGATATCCGTCAGAGACTGGTTAGGAATGAATGTGAACTTTAATACAACAGGAACGATTGTTCCATTGCTAATCTTTTTTCTGTGGATAATAACGAAAAAACCGCAAGAAATAAACACACTTGGACTTAGTGTAGGATTGTATAAAATCTGGTAAGAACTCTACGGATTTTGACTAACTGATTTAATTTACTTTACCAAGACCAGCAACTTGAGATAGTATGCAAGAGGGGGAAAAAACAAATGTTGACCTAAACCTTGAAAAATTTAAACGGTTTAAAATTGACTGATTTTTAGCATGGGTTGTTATTAGTTAGATTTACTTAACGATCGCGGACGTCAGAACCTCTATGATTGAGAACCTTTGAGTAGTTCAATGCCTCATGTATATACAACAATGATTGATCTTCACTCCATATTACACTTTTAGCGCATTTTCTCATTCATGAAAAAATGCACTATTGTGCTCGCCATGTCCCTCCGTCCGTCCGTCTGTCTGCCTGTCCGTGACTTCACGTTTTCGTCGACGAGAAAACGCGCTCTCTGTCACTCACTGCAGGGAGTACTGAGTTATATTTATTTCCATGTTTCCATGGCTGACCTGTTGGTGGTGTAGTGGCGTTCGAAGTTCTTGATTAACATCTTGTAGACGCCCTCTGCGTCAGGGGGGGTCGTACATGCGTCACCCATGGAGCAGCGCCCTCCGTTCAAATCCTGCCACATCACCATCGGCACCTCCCAGAGACCTGACGTAAAAATATTGTGTTCAATTATAATGATTACGAATTAGAGTCCATAGGTCACCAAATTAAGAGTATCTTATGTACAGGAAATGCGTATAATGTGTTTAACACAGCCGTGGGCAAAGCACCAAATAATATAAGTGATTTGCAGAATCTAAAATTTGTGTTTATCTTACTAACTAAAAGTTTTTACAAAACTTAAGACTAGCGAGTGATTTCCTCTGATAGAGCTGACGGGTAGAATAAAATTTTCCTTATTTGTAAGCGCCATATAATCTAAGATTTGTGTTTCTCTTACTAAATAAAGCTGGTAATTCGTACCAAAAACTTAAGACTTGCGAGTGATTTCCTCTGATAGAGCTGAAGGGCAAAATAAAATTCTCCTGCTTTGTAAGCCTCATATCAACGAATATTGATGATTTAAGGTAATATTTAAAAAACATAGTGAAGTTTCCTCTGAAGAGCTGATGGGTAAAATAAAATTCTCCTGATTCGTAAGCCTCATATCAAAGAATATTTATGATTTAAGGTAATATTTAAAAAAGCATAGTGAAGTGAATGAATGAGTTGGTGGAATGAGAAGTGCTTACCTGGGAATGAGTTGGTGGGACAAGGCGGGATCATGCAGTCGTGGAAGAGCTTGTAGTCGAGGGTGTAAGGGTAGCTGGGAGGTCGGTTTTCGTACACAGGCATAGATGAGTCATACGTGAAATTTTGCTCATACAACATCTCGAACATTTTGTTGCCGCCAACCTGAAAAATGATAGAAAATAGTTAAATTCTCAAGTAGTTATAAATGTTGGTCGAACGGTTCTATTGGTGCCTTATATATTATTTTATTATAAATGTGCGTTAAATTGAATAAGTTATTTAATACCAATCAACTTCTCGGCAATTTTGAAATTTTTGCCAGCGGCTGAAATATTAATAATAATAAAAATAAATTATTTCAGTGTTGAAAAAATGAATGATAATGAGGATTCAGATGGAAGGCTAGAGCCACTCACAGCAAGGAAAGGCGCTCTCATGCCACGGACATCTTCCATGCGCACGCCGCCATACGCTGACATGATTTCCCTCTGACCGGCGATCTCCTTTGCCCACTTCAGCTTCGAGAACTGCTCGCCGAAGCTGTGACTGTTGCCGAATAATAAAATTAATTTTTTTTTAATATTAGTGTACATTGTTCAACTAGTCTAAAAGGATTAATTTTCTTAATAAAGAATGCTATTCGGGAGAGAATTCAGATAGTTATCTGCTTGAGACGCAGGATCTGTCCTATTTCAATTCGTAATACGCGCAAAAACAATAGGTATTTAGGTATGACTAGCATAGAAAACTTAAATAAATCATTCAGCAATAAATTTTATCATCAATTCTGTCTCTAGTGCGTTATGTTTTCATCGGTGGTGTTCCTAAATTTATTTATATTATATTACAAATTCATGAAAATATCCACTTATTAATATTATTTGTTTTATTTATAATATACATTATTTAAAATGGCCCAAGTGCATGGAAAAAATTAAATGAGAACCTAATTTATCATCAATATCGCTCAATCGGAGAAATTTTTCCGACTCATTAATGCTAACGCATGCATCGTAGATAATTAATAACGAGTTAAATTTTTTATTTATGCAAGGTAAATAGCAGGAAACAAGCGGGCATGAAACTCACGTGATTGAGTGCGAGGCTATCTCATGGCCATCAGCGTAAAGATTTTGCACTTGCGAATAATCAGTCCATTCGTGCGAAATGTAGAAAGTGGCAGCGATAGGACAGCCATTAGGATTCGTTCGGCCTCGTTCAAAAAGATCCTGATAAAGTTCTTTATTGAGGTCGTTGACAGAGTCATCGAACGTTAGCAGCACCATTTGAGGAACGTCCTGAGGGGCTATGCCATCTGTGTCGTCAAGAAGCGGAAGAGTGCTTTAAAAGTGCGTCCCAGGAATATTTAGAGATCATTTAATGAAAAAAATACGTGCATCATGTTAACTGGAAATGAGAAGACTTGAGTTGCAGGAGTAGTGATGCAAAGTATGGAATAGATTAATCAAATATTTTTTCCAAACGATGTGTGAAGCAAAATGAATTGCTTCTGTGCAACTCAGAGCTGTTATTTTTATTCAAATTATAGAAGACTTACAGATATTAAAAAAAAAATTCTGGAGAAATCTCAGAAATTTCTAGTTCATGGACGAACATTTACTAATCAACTAGGTTTTCATTATATGGGTCAAAATTATTTCACTTTAACTGGATGAAATTTTACTCCATTTGTCGCTAGCAATTCTTCCTGTGCAAAGCAGTAGTGTCAATATATTATGTATTTAATGAAGATAAGTATTTATTCGAGGCCATTTTGTTTAGCCGATTTCGAAAATTTTCAGATTTAACGTGAAGAAATTCAAACCTCACTCGAAATTAACGTAGCATTGCGCCTATCAACTGTCCGAATCGAGGATATACTTAACATCAAATTTTTTATAAAAAGTAGTAGATTCTAAAGAGAATCAAGGACTCGAAGGTGACTCAAACCGATGAATCCGGAACTAGACCAGCGCTCTCGTGCTATGAGCGTTTAGGTGACAAAATTAAATTAGGTGACATTTGGTGTTTATCAAGTAACAAAGAGAGGAATTTAATAATCAAGGAATAAAGACAGGAGCCGTGTCGAAGAATAAGAACTTAAAATAGGAAAAAAACACGTATGGCAGTACCGATGATCTGAAACCTTGGGAAAAAGAGTTTTAATGAGTAATTTAAAACGAAAAAATCAAGGTGCACAGATTTTGCAGCGAGTTACAAAATAACTCACGTAATGGAATGAGAAGCAATTTCATGTCCATCAGAATAAAGATTCTGCACCTGAGAGTAATCAGTCCACTCATGACTGATATAAAATGTCGCTGCAATAGGACAACCATTTGCATTGACACGCCCAACCTCAAATAGGTCTTTATAAAGGCCTTTGTTTAGGTCATTCACAGCATCGTCGAATGTAAGCAGCACCAGCTGAGGTACCTGAGAGGGAGGTATCCCATCTGCACGGGCATGTAAGTCGGGTCGCATTAGAAATTGTATGATGCATAAATTGTATAATTTAGAAACTTGGTGCATGCTTCAACTGTTGCTTTGAGTGCAACTCTAATTACCAGACATTTGAAACGAAGAGCATTGATGTAAAATGAATCAAGAATCTCGAGAACATGTGCTATGGTTCCGAAAAATTTTGCCGGTAAAGAAATATTAACTAAATATTAATTCTTTCGACGGCTGTCGAACATTTGAGAAAAGATCACGAAATAAATAAATATCTGATATGGAAACATTCAAAAGGTGTTTGCGACGGTGCAATTCATGACATATGGTGATTTATTAGCTCGTTTGGATTTGATTTCTGATCCCTGTTCGACTGTGTTGCTTCTGCTTCAAGAAACAAGCTTATTTTCTTTTTTTTTTTTGTTTTTGTTCCTGCGACATCTTATACTTATATTCCTTCAGAGCAAATATTATCTTATAGAATAGGGAATATTATCAATTATTAAATTATAAAATATCTCAAATAAATACAATATTCAAGACAAAAGTGTAAAAGGTAGATAATTTAGATACGCCAGCCTGTCACCATTAAAAGTGGTTCCGCTTCTTAACAGACGTGAAATTGGAAACTCAATTCCTAATTACCTCTCAAATGTGAGAACTAAACTAAAAGTTTGTTCTCACATTTTAACAGAGACGTTGATATTTGAGACGTTGAGATTTTAACAGAGACGTTGATACCTTGATATGTTGATAAAGAGCATCAACGCTTTAAGTAATTCACGGAAAAACTACAGCTGCCGATAACCAACTTAGATCATCGGGTCAGAGAACGATTCTGCGCAATCAATGTCTATGTTAAAAATTGTTTATGGCAGCCTCAATGGACGCACACATTTTTGTGAGAAGGACTGAGAAGAAAAAAAACTCCAGTCATAAAAGATTTATAGAAAAAATTCACAGAGATCATTCGTTTTATAAAATAATCACTTTAATGGTTATAATATCTCCGGTTCATTTCTAATAAGATGATCAAACAAATAAGATGAGAATTTATCAAACAAATGAAAGTTAGATTGTAAAATAACTCTAAATGCCATATTTCAGTTACACAGTTTCAGGAGAAAAACGATTGCACAGAAAACGATTTCAAAGAAAAAAGACTCCAGGACACACGATCTCAGAGAAAACGAATGAGAGAAAATGAATATAAATAAATCAACGATAGAGAGAAATTAACATTTAAAACAGCATCCGGTAGTGTTTTCGGAAAAAATTATCTCTGTAAATGATCAATAATTATTGAGATTAAAATAAGCTGCTACTTCTTCTGAAAAGAAAAGACAACAAAATAAATTTCAATAAATATTCTCATCACACGCAATTCTACTTGGAAACTGCATGATGCTGAAAAACGGTTATCACTTTGTTTCTGAAAGTTAAAAGCTATTGGGAAGCTGAATGTGGAGAAAAAAAACATTCGAAAATTATAATCTCACCAAATGCAGCTTTAAAAAATCTTTAATTGCAATTAAAATACTACCAGCCATTGAACTCAACCATTATCGGAGAAATCAAACGACACTGAAACAAAAATTGTCAACTCACTTGGAACTTCTTTGCCACCGCAGTTGCAATCTGGCAGCCTGCAGAGCTTCCTGTCACAGGCTGTCGCCAGGCTGTTGTAGGGCGGCTGTGGGTAGACTGGTGGCGGCCTGGTGGGCGTAGTGGCGGCCAGTAGGCGATTAGTGGCGGCCAGTAGGCGATTAGCGGTGGCCAGTAGGTGATAAGCGGTGGCCAGTAGGTGATAAGCGGTGGCCAGTAGGTGATTAGCGGCGGCCAGTAGGTGATTAGCGGAGGCCAGTAGGTGATTAACGGCGGCCAGTAGATAATTAGCGGCGGCCAGTAGGCGATTAGTGGTGGCCAGTCAGCAATCAGCGGCAGCCAGTCAACGATTAGCGGCGGCAAAGTCACCGATTAGCGACGACCAGTCAAATCATATTGGGATTTGATGCCACGGCGCAAGGGATGATATTTGTCAAGGTTGAGGTCAATGCCGGATATTTATCGGGAAATTTATGCAAATGGAATTATATTCCCGATTGACGGAATTCCGGAATGTTTTTTGTGTTGGTGTTTGGGGGAGAATTGTAAGAGTTATGTGGAGTATTTTTCAGCGATAATCATTTGTGGGTAGAATTTTAGAAGGCGTAGATGAAGCGGTGACCATGAAAAAAAAGAAAAAATAAATTTTAATGATGCAAGTGAAAAACACAATCTGATTCTTATAACACGACATATACTAACCATGGTGTGTCAAAAATGATCAAAATAATGTAGTACAATTTTTTTCCATGGAATAGCGTTAAACATTAATTTTTTATTCACTCCTATATTCACCCAACAAGGTTTAAAAAACCTACCAAAAACACTAGAGACAGAAGTTCTAAGTAATAAATATACACATCGAAAATAATCAATGATTATCATGACTAGACATGAGTTCATCATGTCAGACTACAAATTCCATGCAGCTACACGTGATAAGCATTGTTACTTGCAACCAGATTATGTTACAAAAACTCCCTGCCATAAACACAAGCATCCTGGCAATATTGAAAATCTATAGTTAAATTAATACAATTGACAACATTTAATTATACAAGCAACTGTAAAAGGGCATTCTCATATCCTGAAAATATGTTTCTTAATGTAGTAAATTTTCATCCACAATCAGAATTAAGTTGTATTAAACATGCACTGCTTTACTGCACAAATTATTAATGGAAAAGTTTAGTCGACAGCTCCTTTTGGGAGGAAAATTTTAAGAAAAATATTTAATTAAAGAAAAAACAACAGAAAAAGCTGCTCTTGATCCCACGCAATATCTTTTGATGGAGTGAAACAGGAGCGAGGATTTCTAGCGAATAATATTAATCTCGAATAAATTCCGGTCTACAGAAAGAAATATTGTGCAAACTGACAAACTCTCAGCTTGTTCAAACTTCAAGTAAGACTGACATGAATCAAGGCGTACGTTTATTTGTAATAACTGTAACCATGTTTCGGCATGATATATCACATAGTAATTTAACAGAAGAAACTTCATTCAATAACTATAATCCAGCCAGATAAATCATCATTCGTATATAAGATTCCAACAGGACTAAAGAAGAAAAAGAAACCAAAGTTCCAATACGAAATGAAACCGATTGAAATGCAACGTTAGTACGTCTTGCGATCTCTGGCTTGGGAATCTATCTTCAAGACAAGTGTTTAGAAAAACATCGTCACGCGTGGGCAAGTCCATGCGAGAGAACAACAACGTCACGCGTGGGCAAGTCCATGCGAGAGAACAACATCGTCACGCGTGGGCAATTCCATGCGAGAGAACAACATCGTCACGCGTGTGTAAGTCCACGCGAGAGAACAACATCGTCACGCGTGTGTAAGTCCATGCGAGAGAACAACATCATCACGCGGGTGTAAGTCCATGCCAGAGAACAACATCGTAACGCGTGGGCAAGTCCATGCGAGAGAACAACATCGTCACGCATGGGCAAGTCCATGCGAGAGAACAATATCGTCACGCGTGTGTAAGTCCATGCGAGAGAACAACATCGTCACGCGTGTGTAAGTCCATGCGAGAGAACAACATCGTCACGCGTGTGTAAGTCCATGCGAGAGAACAACATCGTCACGCGTGTGCAAGTCCATACGAGAGAACAACATCGTAACGCGTGTGCAAGTCCATACGAGAGAACAACATCGTAACGCGTGGGCAAGTCCATATACGAGAGAATAACATCGTAACGCGTGGGCAAGTCCATGCGAGAGAACAACATCGTCACGCGTGGGCAAGTCCATGCGAGAGAACAACATCGTCACGCGTGGGCAAGTCCATGCGAGATGAAACATTTTACAGACACTACTGCACTAAGCAAGCCTTGGCTTGCAGGAGGTAAAGCAAAATAGCAGAAATGGCGCACGGTGGGTATCGAACTCAGAGGATTTTGTCGTGTAAAGTTGAGAAATTAAACATTTAATTCTTTCTAGCAATACATTACAACGTTTTACTTAGTTATTTTTCTGTTTTGATTTTATTATCACATTATCCGAATATATAAAACACTGTGATGAAAAATATTTTATTTGAAACCTTCTGTATACTTTTCTGTATACTTGTATATACAAAAACAGATACAAAGAACTTCATAAACTTAGTGGCTTCAAGTTTTTTTAATGAAAAAATTCTTAACTAATACATCGATCAATTGCTAAAAGTATTTTTATATACCAAGGCATTTTATAGCATCTTTACCCCAAATTTGAAATAATTTCCTCGAACGTCAATGAAAACAGTAATTTACGATTAAAATTATACCAGAATTTACATCAAAATTCTAAAAAACTAAACAAAATCTGTCTGTACGAGGTTCAGGATATGTCTATGACGTTCTTGGGTTTTCGCGTCTATGATGATAGGTTATAAGTCAATGAGAAATAGGATAAGTAAATGAGTAATAGGTTCTAAGTCAATGAGAATAAGGCTCTAAGTCAATGAGAAATAAGTTATAAGTCAATTGAAAATAGGATCTAAGTCAATGAGAAATGAAAAAACTGGAAAATTTCTTTACCTTCGTGCAGGATATTTCCAAATGTTGGTGATCTGATGATCAGTGTTTTTCACAATTTCAGACACTGGCTTCAGAGTAAGCCTGCAGTCGCCATCACCAAACAGAAATAAATTAAAATATTATTTCACAATTTTATCACTGACAACAGTTTAATAACTTTAACGTTTATTTATGTCTACTAAAAAAATTCAATTCAGCTTCATTTTGAATATTTTAGACTCAGTTTTTGTTAAATGAAATCAATATTTCGAATTAAATTCTACCTATTTCGTTAATTCTATTCCTACTCATTGCTATTCGACGTATTGCAATTAAAGTTAAATGCATGATATCAAGTTTTGAATCGCTATGTGAAATGCAAATGAACTTACAACTGGTACGGTTATAAGTCAACTGCACGGCATAAGCCTTGTTGACATTAGGGCGGTAACAACAAAAAATTGTAGATTGTAGGTAGATTTTAATTTATGATATGTATGTAAAATTTTTATATTGTATACGGTAGAAGCCAAAAATAATTATGTATCCATGCCGTCCTCAAGACAAAAAAGTATGTTCCCAATTTCCATGAAAATTTTTTAATAAACTGTTATATTTTCACCAATAATAAGCCAACAGATATCAGTGAACAAATTAATATTATGCATGGTCATTGAATATTATTAATGGCGCAATTTTGATGAGATTTATGGCGTCTATGTGAACTCATACACTTATATTGCATGTTCAAATAAACTTCATTATTATGTCGACTGAATCATGTGAATCTGATTTTGAATGCTCGTATACCAGGCTGGGTCTTAAAAGTTAGTTCAATGCATCGTTTAAATCTAAAATTAATTCAATGGCTGTATCAGTAGAATTTTAGTGCCCTGGTGAATTGAAATATGCCATTTAGATCCAGTACAAGATCAATTCATTTAGAGTTTATCAATAGAAATTTTCGCACCTTGAATTTACCGATAAATATAATATGATTTTTAGATGTAAAATCAAACTAAGCTATTCCGAGTTCATCACTAGAAATTTATTCGCCTTGGTTTTACAGACGACTTTCAGTTCCCCAGCAAATTTAATTTGACGCTAAATCCGACGGAGCCATTCTAAAAACATGTTCTTCCATTGTTCACCCTCTAATAACATGAATATTCGTGACTCCGTATATTTATGAACGTTACCTGGACGGTCGGGAACTATCAACAGGCGATGCCTTAGAACTCTGCGTCTTGGGCTGACTGCTCTGCCTGCGCGTCAAATAGAGAAGGTCATTAAATAATTCTGATCTTTACAAAATCATGAATAAAATTTGTCCTGACGTTTAATTGACTTTGTTTTCCAAGATATAAATTCATTTAATGTTGATGATTTGTAATCACTGTAATGATTCCAACTCACTCGCCTATTTATAACTCCCATCAAGTACTTTTTTACTGATGCTTTCATAGAGGATAAGGTGAAATTAAACTCCAAGATATAAAATCATTAAGCAAGCGACCCTGTAAAATTGAACGATTTCTTCAAATTATCGTAGTATATGGTATGGGCATTAGGTTTTTAAAAAATGAGCCTCAATTGACAAAGAATTTTCATGCCATAATGGTTTAATCAATATGATTTAAAAGTCTGATTTAAATGTAATTCAAGTTTTTAAATTTCAGTCTACAGTTGGATGCAAATTTACATTGGCTTCCGTTCAAAATTTACGACAGTAAATTTTAAATCAGAAAAAACTCAAGTAAAAATTTATTTGTTAATTCAAATGCATAAACTAACTCATATTCGTCAGGACACAATTTAAATATTGTAAAATTCGAAAAAAATGGCTACCTATTTAATTCACATAGCCTCTTGTGTTTGTTGATTATGTGTATGTCATGCACCATAAAAACCAATTCCCACACATTGCCGAAGCCATTATTTATTCCTATGGCGAAGCGTCCACCAAAAGTAAAATGACAAGATATATAAAAAGACATCAAGCACGTACAATTTGTAGGAAAAATACACGCAATGAAGCAGACAAATAAAAAAAATTCATCATTAGAATAAGGCAATCTGGATTTCAATGCGTGTAATTAGACAATTTTGGCAAAGAAGTTCTAGCCGTAATTGTGTCATTTATTGGCACTATTGGGCACAGTTGGATTGGTTAGAAAAAATTGCACGCATTTAAAAATACATTTAAAATTTCGAAAATTGAAGTTTGAATTTGCTTCTATAATTCAAAAATGCTCTTTCTATTGAAATATTATTGATTTAAATGAGTCATTCACGAATGTAGGAAAAAATAGCGTAATTTGATATTATCACGTGCTCGATAGTTAATAATAATTGACGTCTGGTAGGGACGTTTTTTTCTGAAATGTTAGTTGCTTTCATTAGCAAAAGAAATGAAATGCCGCAATCTACGGCGTTCATGCTACTTCTGTCGCATGCCGTTGAGTCAATTTCAGTCTGGTCAGTGTAAAATATTACGTTCTCTCGTTTTTCATCGCAGTATTTAAAAGAAAGCTTCGTCAATAGTATTGGTACCTATAACTGTATGAAATTAAGATAAATTTGGTCATGTTTAGAGCCCATAGAATTTTCAGTGAGCATGAGGTAGTAACGTCTTCAATCATTACGCAACGTTGGACTCGATGAGCGATATTTTTACATCAAGAATGTCGAAACAATGTTCGGCCATCGGAATTTAACCGTCGCCTAGTCAATTCTAATAAATTTTTGACAAAAAATTTGCAAAGGTTAAACTCTCAAAAGGTCGTACAAGTCAATTTTTTCTAAACGTCACCTAAAAAGAATACCGAGAACACTCACAAGACTTTGTCAACATTTTGTTACTTGACGGTAAAAATGGCTCTATTGCTGACAACATTAACAAATCTATTACAGATAAAAACTTACGCCACAAAACTATTTTCTTACTGTACTACGGACAAGCAAAGGCAACAGTTTCAAACCTTGTTTTGATAATAAGACCAGCTGTGTTTTGATCACAAGGCTAACTTTTGTTTAGATCAAAAAGCTAGCTGTTCGAACGTTTTGACATCAGATAAGAAACAATAAGTTTACCGAGAGTGAAAGTTCTTGCAAATTTTCTAAATGACAGCCTAAATCCGTATTCTTAAGTAAGGCTGGCTTAGGAATCGAGTACGAAATTGGAATGAAAAAAACGATGAAATTTCCATAGCTTCAAATTTGCTCCAATTTTCAAAATCATTGGATACCAAAATAATATTTTAAGTCAACTATTGTAGTTTGAGCTCTGATGACAATTCACAAAAATTGAAAATTGTAAACACCACAGAAAAGTCAAGTAAATAAATCACTCAAAAAAAGTAGTACAGTGATGTCATCCGTCGCTTGCTTCGATAGGTCCGAATTCCGGTCTTGGAGCTGAAAGTGAACGAGTTTGTGCAAGAATTAGAGTTAAAATGAGCTAATGAGGTAGAGGTTAGATTTGCAAAAATAATGCTACACCTTATGTACTTCCATGTGATACCATGTGATAATGAAAGTGCGGAAATTAGGACAGTAAGGCAAGCCAAAATGTCACCATTCGTTAAAGTTCCTAACAAGAGGAAATATTATGAAAATTTTCGATGAATACCTAAGCATTAATGCAGAAAAGTTCAAGTGGATTTTTCTATGTTGTTCTACGCAGTTAACAAGGGGCTAAACCGCATATTAAATCCGCGTCGGTCACTTCCAGGTGGAAGGAAGAATAATGCACTTCAGTCAGCCTATAGTGGCTAGGTGTTCATTTCGTCACGTCATCGTTCGGCTACGAGAGAGGAGATGCAAGGTAAATGTTCGCCATGCTTCTCGAGACATCTGCTAAATCGATCCCAGCCAATGCAAGTAGGCAAAGGAACGTTCTAATTCAATTCGCAAGGTAAGGAAGGAAAAAAGTCTAAAACATACCTCAGCGACTTGGCAACTTCAGACCTGGGAGTCGGGAACAAGTGCCCAAGACGGCCAGCATTTGGTTTAGGAGAGACAGAAGTAGAGGAAGAAATAAGGGAAGAGTTAAGAGAACTAGAATTGTTTGATGCTTCTACTTGACGCAAGGAAGCGGTATTCTTAAGAAGCAGCAATGGGTTTAGGGTATTCTTTTCGGGGTTTATTGGCTTGCTTGAGCCATTATCGGAAGCAGAAGAGGTGTTATTTGAACTATCAAGACCACTATCATCATCATTTAGGAAGGGAACTCTACTTCTAAGGGATGCCAGAAGGGGATGCGATTTAGATTTTTCTTTATCTAGCGTCGAGTTTGTATGGTCGGATGAATTACCATGATCTGATTGAGTAAAGTCGGAACCAAAAGGTTCTAGCACTTCATTCGTTGTGTTTGAATGCTCCTGTTGAGAAACGGAAGCATTGGTTGCCTGTTCGACGTCTTTGGGTAAATTATGCAAGTCAGTAGGTGAGCCAGTGAGGGATGATTCTTTGGCCGGTCTTATTGGCTTTAATATTGGGCGAACCGTTGTAGAAGTCGATTTTCCATCAATATCTTCTGTTTGATCGATCAACTTTATTACGTCAGCAGAGCTAGGAGTAGTTGAAGATGATCGTTTTGGGAACGGTAACATTGGTCGAGGAAGACTCTTGGGACGTTCAGTCGAGGGCGAATCTTGATCCATGGTTTTATGGTCTCTCGCCGAAGTCTCGGTAACATCTTCAATATATTCTTGGTCTGTGTAACTCAGTGGATCGACTTCATAGTATGATTCTTCATACATATATAAAGCATCAGTGGTGTCATATTCTGCAACAGGGTTTTCTGTGGACGTGGTTGTTTTAACCCCCGCAGTCGACGCAGTTATATGCGTTGCGGTCGAGGATGTTTCAGCGTGTGGAGTCGTGGTAGTCTCGGGTTTCGGAGTCGTGGTAGTCTCGGGTTTCGGAGTCGTGGTAGTCTCGGGTTTCGGAGTAGTGGTAGTCTCGGGTTTCGGAGTCGTGATAGTCACGGTCTTCAGAGCCGTGGTCGTCACAGGATTTAGAGTAGTTGTCGTTACATGCTTTGAAGTCGTGGTTTTAAGGAATTTTCGAGTTGTGGTTGACGCAGGGCGTGGAGTAGTGGTTGTTACAGGGTCTGGAGTGGTGGTTATTACAAGTTCTGGAGTGGTGGTTGTTACAGGGTTTGGAGTCGTGGTGGTTCCAGGCTTTGGAGTTGGGGTGGTTGTTAACTCAAGTTTGTTGGGAGATTCAGTCAACGGTTCTTTTCGAAGGTTGGTAAATCTTTCGGGTGAAAATCTGTGCTTAAGAACCTCGTGAGTAATAGGACTTGGAGGAAATTTAATTTGAACGCTTGGAATAAATTTTGGATGATCGGGGACAGTGCTAATGCTGGGAGGTCTGAAACGGGCCCTAATATTTCCATTTGGGTGAATTTTGGAAGAATCGGAAAGCAACTGTATTTTGGCTGCAGGGTGATTCGATGACAGTCGAGATGTTAAACGGTAAGAGGGGCTAATACTTACTATTGAATCAGATACAGCTGAGAGGGAGTTTCGAACAGATGATAATTTAGGAAGTTTCGGTCGCGGAAACCTGTTATTCTCAGCAAGATCATCAAATAATTCTAATTCAGGTATTGTGCTGGCTGTAGTCGTAGACTTAGTAATTTTTGGTCCAGTATTTGCAATGTCATCAGTACGGAAACGCTTTGGAAATAGTAATGCTAATTTTTTGTTAGATTTATCATCTACAGCGTTATCTTCCACTTCTTTAGGAGTTGTGTCAAGGAATACGTAATCGTCGCTTACAGTATCGTCGCCCACCAAAAGGGGATCTTGATCAGCATTTTGATCTTCACTTGGTTCCCCGTAAATCGGTATCTGCTCAGTAGTTGAATTCAAAGGACTTGAAACAGAAAGCGATCGTAAGCGAAGTTTCTTGATACTTCTAACTGATTGAACAGGAGATGGACCATCTGTTAATTGCCTGGATAAAATTCTAACAAAAGAAGCATTCGGAGATAGCTGGACGATTGGTTGGAGGTTAGTGCGCGGAGCAAGCGGCTTAGTGTTTGGTAAAGGTTTTGGGTGCAGGATGGACTTTGACGCAGGAGTGGTGCGGTTAGAAGGAAACAAAGGCAAAACATCGATGTTGTCATGAAATGGCTGGATGGTAGTGGCATCAGAAGCTTTGTAGCTGGCAGCTACAACCTTAACCTTAGGGTTATTGGTAGGGGTGGTATCATTAGTAGCGGTAGAAATATTAGCATCAGATGCAGAATCAATTGGATGGAACGGTTCATCTGTTATCAAAGTGGGTTCTTCTGGCAATGTGGATTCTGCTTCCAATTCATCTTCCACGATATCATCAACATCATCAGAAACTGGCCTTATAATGGCACTCGCTGATGTTTTAATTGAGGTAGAGGAGGAACGTAAACTTTTGGGAACAAGAATTTTTAGGCGTTTTTCAGGAGCATTAGACCTTTTGGGTAATATTTGGTCTTGAAGGGATATCTCACTTTCTGGTAAAAAGAGTGATGTAAAAGAGGATTTTGATGATATCTTAGCGTGATTTGAAGACGAATGAGAAGAAGGATCAGAAAACCAAGCTTTATCTGAAGGTCTATCAGAAGTTTGAGAAAGTTTGAAATTTGAGAAAGGTAGGGGAGACTCATCAGTTGGAAAGGTATCAGGTAATGCAATAATGGAAGATGTAGGGAGATTTGAATGCAAAGGGGAAGACATAGAGAAAGATGGTGCTGGGTCAATGTCTTGGTATTGCAGAAGGTTATCGGTCAAGTTGAGCCTGTATGGGATAATGTTATGGTCAGAAATAATTCAACTCATCAAATGCCCATTAATCCTTACAATTAAGTTGCACTCAAAATAAGTAATACACAAAAACAGTTCCAACTGCCAAATAATTTTATCCTCAAGCAATCCTCAGCTTGAAATTTTACTATTCCTGAAATGAAGCTCAATGCATCATAAGAACACCGCATATTTTAAGCTTTTAAATTACCCGTAGCCAGTGATATGTTTTTAGCACATGCAGCACAGCCTAAACGTGCCCTCAAATTTATCATCACAAACAGATTTTTAGATGCTGAGCATTCACGTTTAATGAATTGATGTAAGTTTTGTCATGCAATTAGTAAAGCGAAATGCTGAAATCATTAAATGATTGACCGATTATAGTGTACACAACACCAAAGCAATTCATTTAGGTATTAAATGCAGTGACTGTTGAAGCGGAATAATTTCAACCCTAAACGATAATGACCACAGAAAAATGTCCGCGTGATAGCCGTGCACAAGAACACGTTTCTAGAGTTTCTTCGTGCCGTTGCTAAAAGCTTACATTTTGGACCATCCACTTTTTTGCAATTTGGACAGAATATTCTAAAAAATCGGAGTGAATCCTAGTGAGAAGACAAACGGCACAAAGCGTTATGATCTGTTATGACTTTCTAAATCTATCCATAAACCACGGAGAGCAAAGATCCAAACCAAGCGTTTTCATTTGATTTTTATAGAAATAGCATTTAAACAGAAGAGTAGTTGATCTCCTTTTGTATGCTATTCTTCAAACGCATGGACATTGAACAATAAGATGCATGATAGCAGTAATGTTCAAGTATAAGGATAATTAAGAAGCTAAATTTTGAACACTACATTCAGTTCTGAACGTTCACTGCGAAGTAAAAAGATCTCGACCTTGAAGAAGCAGAGGTAGCTTCGGAGAAGATTTGACTTCCCCTGGGAGGACCACGGTCTGGTGTGGAGCCCCTGCCACTAGCAACACTGTTGGATCGCGTTTGCGTCGAGGTGAAAGTGTTAGCAATGCTATTACTCTGCGGGAACGACTCTGGCAAAGTTTGGGTGATAGGGAAAGTGTTCGATGCAAAACTTGATCTGCCTTGAGAGCGATCGGTCAAACTCGATCGAGAAGTGGATGGCGATGGCCGGTCGTTGCTTCGGATTGGGGAGAAACTCTCGCGATCTCTGAGGATTGTATACAAGATTGCTATTGTAGGCAAATAGTTTTAACTCTCAGCCATTCTACAAGTTCGTGTCACGGTGGACGGGTGTTATCTTTTTAACCTTGACTTCTGGTGATGAATTTTGCATTTAATTATGAATGTTATGAATGGAAGATTTGGATGCAAATAGAGTGTTAGCACCTCAACCAAGAAAAAAAAATGCAGGTGATGGTGGTGTAAATTAAAATCTTATGGTATTTAAAGATTATAAGGCTATTTACAGCATAATTAGTATTAAAATTTCGAAATTAAATGATGAATTGATATTGAAATAGAATGTCGTTCTATAAATCATGAATATAATTATTTGGATGCTTAAAAACAATGTATGATTATGTAACCCGTTTGAAATATTTTGACATTCTTTGAAGAACTGACTATTAATTTAATAAGCTTAAATATATTGATGAAATAACTAAGCTTAATAATTCCATCATGGGATAGAGTGAGATAAACTATCGTTTCCATTGGAGACAAATATACTCAGCATTACTATTACTTCACAGTTGGCAGTGCAATAAACTTGTATAATTTTCTGTATTTTCTGAGGACCAGAATATATTCAGCAAAACGAGTTCTTACGTAGTAGCACATTTATTCATGAATTAAAACTGTTTATTAATAGAAGCAGGTATTTATATATAACTGAAAAAATTAGCGTTAGTTTAATGTGAAGATAGTTTTGAATTTTTGAGAATATACAGTTAAATTTTGATAATTTACTATACACTACTATGAATGCATTGAAAATAATAAAAAATGGTAATATGCCTCAGAAGTGCAGGGCAAAATGTAATACTATCCATGACATTGACCATGGTGGAAATGAAGAAAATGAGGTTAATTAAACACTACTCATTTGGAAATAATGAAACTTCCATTCCTGAAAGAAAATTCGTAACTTAATAAGCAAATTTAAATTGCAATTTCTCAAAACAAAATTTTGGAACGAAGTCTGTACACAAGGCGGGTGGAATGAACTTGAAAAATTATTTGATTTCATCAGTTCCAAATGAGGATAACGATTGCTGCACAAGAAAGGTTAACTTCATTAATCACTCGCTATGCTCCCGTTCAAGGCAAATACAACATAACTAAATAAAATAGTATGCATAAAGAGGTTTTCATGGTAAAAACATAGTAAAGCTAAAAAACTTATTATTGCCTTGCAGTAGTAGGAATTATAGAATTCTGCATTCAATCAACAACCAGGATATGCGGGATTGATGAAAGTTGCAATGAACAGAACAAGTGGGGAATCCAAAAATTAAAATAAGGCAATAAAATAATTCTTTTGTGAAAAATACGTGCATATAATTAGACGAGCTTAGTGAGAGGGTGCAAATAGATACGGCAACACAATCAGGGCAAGCAGACTAATAATAAAATAAGTATTTCGGCTTCATTTCCATGCCACGTTTGTGATATTTACAGTGAACATGAGAACTACTTGGTGAGTGCTTAATAATGCAACAACTCTAGAAAAGAAATAAAATATGAATTATAACTTGAAATTCGTTGGGATGACCAGATTAGCTGAAAAATATTTTCGTTAGAAAATATATAGAAAATATATGTACTTTAAAATATACTTATTTCGTTGCAAAAAACTAATATGAATGCAATCCGACCTCTAAGTCATCCTATGAACGGCTAGGAAAAATTTAGAATTTAGCGTAAAACGAAGATGAGTCGCATGAGCTATATTTGCTGAAGCTGTGATATTCCATAAATTACTTTTTTCAACGCCGCTGCAGAGAAATAGTGATGTTAGTTTGTTCAACCTATGGAACTGACGATAAAGTTGACTCAAATTCACTGATGAATGAATTTGAAATGATAATGGTCATGTTTCAATGTGCACACTTGAGTGCTACGGTCAATTAGCACCTCGTAAAAACGTGCGTGAACAACTTCATGAGGCTCAATGCATGGTGCATGTCAGTTCTTCGTGATACATGCAGTTCACATTAAAAATGAATACCGTGCTGAGATGGTTCCTCAGTGACAGTTTACTGTTAAATTGCCAGCGTTGAATTATGCTTGCATGAGATAGGGACAGCTAAATTTACGACGATCAGAGAATCAAAGTACGGATGCAAATAACAGAAAACACCGAGAGCTCCAACAAAAAGTCTTTGGCAACTGATGCAAAAAAATCGAAGGCTAGGCTACACTGATTTGTCGGTGATTCCAAACTGTTGGAGCTCGGATATTTTCTAACTAGCTATGCATTTTACAGTTAAATCGTTTGATTAAAAGTAGTTTGGAACGAGCAGAAAAAATTAAAACTAAAATTGAACGAGCAGCCTGCTTGCTAGTCAGAGGTGGGCAGTAGCGCGCTACATGTAGCGGCCGCTACTAGCGGCCGCTACTAGCGGCCGCTACATTTTCAGTAGCGGTAGCGGTAGCGACTCTACATTTAAGGCAATGTAGCGGTAGCGGTAGCGCCCGCTACATATTTGAGTAGCGATACAAGGTTTTGCCGCTGCAGCGCTACCGCTACATTCATAGATAAAGCTTTTAGATTTTACGTAATAGTATAAAATATTATTTAAAAACCAGCATGATACATACATAATATAAATTACAGAATAAAACTACGAAAGATTTCGGTGTAATGTTGTCAACCTCAGCCTGTTACTAGTGTTAACATGTAACTTGTTACCAGAGGTGGGCAGTAGCGGTAGCGGTTGCGGTAGCGGCGCTACATTTAAGCAATTGTAGCGGTAGCGCCCGCTACATTTAGAGCATGTAGCGGTAGCGGTAGCGGCGCTACATTTCAAAGTAGCGCTGCCCAGCTCTGTTGCTAGTTAATTGGTTAACTGCAATATTACGAGCAAACAAAACTCTTCATCAGGCAAGTTACTGCACCTAATCTCTCTGCTGAAATGCCTCTTCAATCTCGATGGCTAGTGATTGCGCTGCAATTGTTGTTGGCCTTTTGATAACTATATATTGCATATAAGTACTGTTAAATTTAAGTTTTAATCCAGAAAACGGAAAGAAAACAGTTGAATTATGTTATTAGAACTACTTGTTATTAATTCAAGTATTCTTGCCAAATAAAGAGTTAACTAGATTTTGAGGTAGAAAATAGACGAATAAGATGCGAAAATGTCGGCGGCCGCGTACCTCAAATCAATTGTATTGGGCTTCAACTTCTGCAGGTTTTGGAGAGAAGTAATCGTTGATGGTGCAGACGTGGTGGTAGGATGAGTGTGTATTGAATTAAAGGTAGGAAGTGGGAGTGGCTTTGGCGAAATGGTGTGTGGTGTGCGCGAAGTCGTAAGAGTGAGCGAGGGAGAGAACGAGTCGATCGGGAACGTTCGAAAATCGATCGCTTGCGGATTCAATCTAGGGAATTCCGAGCAAATCGAAACGTTTGTTAGAAAAATTATTAACGAAGTTTTCTAGCAAATGTTAAAATTAAATCTATAATGCCTATACTTTTGGTCTTTAAAAACGCTTTACTTTTCGCTTCTTAGTAAAAATACGTTCAGCAAATAATTCTTCTAATTAAATTTATTTCATTCTAAAAAATGGAGGAAATTCGATTGAAAAGTAAATTTGTCCATTTGACATTTCTGAGCAAATTCACAATTGAAACCATTACTTTTTCTAGCTCTTTCTAGCTCTGGGAATTCGGTTTTCACTTATCGAAATTGGCTTATAATGTTAATTCTAAGGAACAATACTTCCTCCGCCAGGGGACCTTCATTGTGGGAACAATGTTTTGAAGCGCAGCGCGCATCTAAATTTCCGCACAATTTCAATGTCGCGAAGACACAAACAACGCACATTCAAAAATACGATTCGAAAGAAAACTCATTATTGCGGTGACTGAGTTTCTCTTATATAAAACTTCAGGGGCAAGAGAACTTGTTGGATTGTTTTAACTCTAACGATTTAATATCGTTCGTACTATGTCGCAACAACTTTTTTCGTGCATTCTGTCGTTGGTGTTCGGTTCATTAGGTGGAACCTTTATTTTAATGAAACTTTAGGATTTATTTCTATTCTGTTTTAAACTTCAAGTGACATTAATACCGATTATCGAAACTCTTTTCTCGTGAGTTTCAGGAGACCAATTTTGGAAACTACATTAACAGAAAATTTACAGACAGAACATTACATTACATTAACAGAAAATTGTCTACCAACGAGTTCAAATTCCCAGGAAAGTATTTATCATACTTCATTTACACGACATAATATTATAATGTGAACATAAACGCTTGTTAAACAAGTTGGAATGGCGGCATTTTTTGGATGGAGAAAGTGGATGGAAAAAAAACGAACCTGATCGGAACGCGAGTGGTTGGCCTGACGGTCGATGACCCTGCCGACCCATCCAAATAATCTGCAATTTGGGAGAATGGGATCTCAATAATAACCATAATTAGTGGCGGCATCTAAAATCTATAATCATTATAATCGTATTCGTGAGAAAATGGTTAATTTGACTTAATAGGAATCGCATTGAAAAGATGTGACAAACAACTCGCCTTCGAGAAGTAGATCTTCATAAAGATAGAAGTACTCGGCATCGGTGAGGTTCAGCAAGTCGGTGTAATCATCGAGAGCTGGTGGAGCAGGAGTAATACTTTGTTGTCGCTGCTGCTGTTGCGGTTGTAGCTGCTGCTGTTGCGGTTGTAGCTGCTGCTGTTGCGGTTGTAGCTGCTGCTGTTGTTGCTGTTGTTGTTGGTTAGTGAAAGAGGGAGTCTGAGGGCGCGAGTCGAATTGGCTCTGGAAGGAAGAGCTGCTAGCCTTGACGCCGGGGAGAGCAGGTCTGTAAACATGGCTGCTTTTCAACTTGGAAGATATTTTCGTCCGTCAAAGCGACAGTCTACGTACGGAAGAAGAGTGTCTTGATCCCGAGAATTTATAGCAAACTAATATTTAGAAAAATCTCTCGGTAAAATGTGTTTGGGTCTAGAACAGCTGACCAGAAGCCATTTAAAAGTCATATACATTGATTCTGTGATGTCATGAACTCTTTCACGAAGTCATGAACTGTTTGAGTGCAAGTCTAGGTTTAACTATATAAGAGAGAGAACTAAGGTCAATGATTTCGAGTCGAGAAGGATCGTTGGAAAATAAAAGAGATGAGAAGCACGGCTTGAATCGGCTTGAAAGGAGCCGCTACATGCCTATTTTGAGCAGAAACAAGGCAGAATTTGGTGTCGAAGTGAATTTTCCACAGGTATTGGAGAAGGGATGTATGAAATGAATCATGACATCTTCACAAATTGCGAAGTTATAAGAGAATAGAGAGTAAAAGTAGTAGGTGCAGTGAGAGTTTGGCAAGAAATAAAAAGTCGATCGAGCAAAAACAAAACTGGCAAACAAACAATTTTAGAGTAAGTCATCAGTAAAATTACGAAGGAAATAATTATAAATTACATTCGTTAGCTTTTACGCGTTTTGTTTATTCTTGATGTTTTGACAGCATTCGTAAGAGGGTCATTTTTATTTTGTGTTAAATCCGTGCAAGTTAATTAGAAATCAAGCTCAAATGAGATAAAGTAAGATATGTTCAAGAACTACGCTGAAAGAACATTGATGCAAAAAACTATTAAATTACTGTGCAGGTTTCCCGCATCCATGAACAAATGTATCAATCGACGCGACACTAATACCGATAAATAAAAACCAACTTTTACAAATTATTTACCACGATATTGCAAATCAGAAGAGCTTCGCGCATTTCAACTACCCGCAAGTATATAGAGCTGATGATAATGATAATGGTTTTGCAAAAAAAAAAAACAATGTGTTCATATCCTGTATCCTGTACCTGTAATTTTGTCGGTTGTGAAATTGTCGTTCGTCAGTCTTGATTTTGAATGCTGCTGATGTGTCAGGCAGTTTGGACAGTTCAGAATATCGACCCGTTTCCTGTACAAGAATGGACGTCTTGTCTGCGTTTGAACTTTTAATGCTCTCTCTAACTGATGAAGGTTTATCATAAGGAGGTAAAGTGAACGGTTTCAAAGTCGACGCAGATTCTATCTTCGGTGTCGTAGTTGAAGTTTTACGCTGTCGCCTTACTGGAATTTGAATTCTTGGCCGTGTTGGCCTTGAAGGTCTCTCCGTTGTTGGGTCATCCTTCGGAGTACTTTCTTGGAGCTCGATGGAAACTAAAGTCTTTTTGTCGACTTGACGATTAAGAGGAGTTCGATTCCTAACAGGAGGCTTTGCAGTAAACTTTGGTTGATGCAACTGAGGAGATCGTTGAGTAAACTCAGGTTGAGGGGGCAATGGTGTGGTAAACTTTATTGACTGCTGAACTTCAGGTCGAGATCTAGGCGGGGCGTTTTGCGGGCTTTGATTTTCAATAGAATTGAGAGGCCGATAGCTGTTTGGTTTCTCAAAATTATTCGATTTAGAAGGCTCAGTCTCGTCATAATCGTATTCGTCAATATATTCATAATCTTCAGTCACCAACGGGTAGTCGAGTTCTTCGTGGTATCTGGTTAATGGAGGGCGAGGCAAGATATCATCACTACTTTCAACCTCAAACGGATGATTGTCTGGAGCCACTGGTGAAAGAGTGTGATCGTTCCAACTGTTCTGATAAGCTTGGTTAGATCGTAGCGTTTCCACAGGCTGTACTGAGCGGTCCATCTGTCGGGTTGGATTCACATCATCAGAAATCGACTCGTGTGTATATGGCAAACTGGCCGCGTGCTGTTTTTCACGAACGCTATTTGCATTGGGCTCATGAGGCTGAGGTTGGGAAAAAAGAATTGACCCATGAGAAGCGATTAGAAATTTAGGATTTGTTTTTTCATCCGAGAAATGAGATTGGTCGTGATTTCCAATATGTATTGGGAATTTGGGTCGGTCGTAAGTTCTACCTTGTTGACTGGCAAACGGAGCAGAGGGTGGTGGGCGGTCAACGGAGGGTCTTTGGTGGCCTTTGTCATGCAATGGTGGACCAAAGTCATACAGATGTGTTGGCTGATCTTCACTGAATGGATAAATTTCTTGTGGCATTGGCTTGGGTCTTTCTCGGAAGGGATTGCTCATTTCTTGTCCATGATCGTTGTGTTCTTCAATGAATCTCTGGAATGGATTTGCCGAAGATGACAAAGAATAACCAGATGATGGTTGAATACCTGGAGATACATTGCTGCCTTTGTGGAATTTTAACGAATAAGGTTGCGCAGAAGATGGATTTGTCCGCACATTTCTTGGTGGATGATTGCTGTGGGGCTGATGTCCAAATGATTGAGGTCTAAAAGCATCAGAAATGTGAGCGGGAAAGTTGCTATGGAAAGGAAATCTGAGCTGACTTTTCGCGGCGTTGTACTCGAATGCAGATGGACCTACGCTCCTTTTGTTACTATTCTCTTGTGAAGGCCTTCTTCTGTGCCACCTTTCGATTGGTCGATGATGTAGAATATTGGAGCTCTGCCGAGCTTCAGTGTCGGAATGTTCATGAGCTCGATCTAAGTCTTCTTCGATTGAATCCAATGAGAAGAAGTCGTGTACTTTCTCTCTAACACTGGTTATTGGCTCCTTGTCAATGAATGTAAATTGGTTGAACCTTCCCGGCTTTCCAAAATTTGCAAAATTTTTGGCGTTACCAGCTGAATCCCTAAACGATTCATCGTAGCCTCGAGTCACAATTCTAGGATATCCCGACGACAAAGCCTTGTGGTCAAGTGCGAGTGATCGGCTGTTTTTACTATTGGTTTTTCTTTCGTCGAGCGTCATGTCAAGTGGGTCTGTCGCGTCACGCTTCTGTCGTAGAAGTTCGTCTCTGGGGACAGTGAAATGATACTTAAATACCTACGTCTCTTTTAAACGCACAGTCTAAAAAACTTGCAAACAAATTAATAAACGTCAAGTGATATATTTGCTTCCGTGATAAGGCGTTATTTTTCTAAAATAAATGTCATGTAATTGCTGACGTCCGACTCGGGTGAACAGAGTAAGTGACGCTACAAGTCTACTAAGTGCCACGAAGTTGAACGCCGAAGTTGCTTGTCATGAACGCCCAGACAAGCAAGTATTGGATGGAGTCGTGCTACTCATCCCTTCCTTAATAGATCTCATTAACAAAAGTAAAGTGGACAAGAATGTAAATCGAATTAAATTCATAGCGCGAGTTCAAGCTTTAGTGTTTTATTTATGCAAGCCCTATGCTTAACAATAAAGTTTTTCAGTGAGAAGATGCACTAATGGAAGGGTTCAAAAACTGAGCCTTGTCCACTAGCCTTACCGTCTTGCATTTTTTCTTACGTACAACATAACTTACGGGAATGAAAAGGTGCTTTTCGAGGTAGTCGGTGACACGCTGAATGCCCGATTAGTGGACTCCTGAACCTGGAAATGGAATAATGTCATCTGCAAGAAAATTTTTCATTCGTGCTCTATGTAAATGAAGACAATCGTAAATGTTTTATGAGAGTGCGAGCAGCTCCGAACGTTAATTTAGGGTTACGAAGATTATGAAATTTTGACGTTAAAATTGTAAATTGCACAAAAAGTTGCTAAGAGAAATTAGGTTGGCCTAGTAATTTCAGTAGAAAAAATAATTACCTATTTAAAACAATGTGCTACCAATTACGTGCCATAACGTTGGTCCAATGTGCGTCGCTGCGATTTTCGACTTAGCCAAAAGCTGATAGACTTGGAACGATTAATATTTTGTTCAAAATACAAATGACGATCATACATTCAAAAAATAATTTAGAAACTCCATATCGTCAACAACATAGTTTTGGCATCCCTTAGAGTCATTGCCATGGTAAAAAATTTTATCTACACTGTATTTATTTTTTGTTTAAATGTAAATGTGACGCCAATAATGCATCTATATGTTTCCAATGGCCGTTAAATTCATCACTAAATATTATTTTCCTGTTAATAACCAATCTGGAAATAAGTGTTGACTCTAAAGTAGGTGTGTAAAGATTTACATTCCATCTTAATTCTGTGTATTATATAACGTACCTCTTTAGCTATAGCAATATCTCGTGAGACATTGTCAAAAAAAAAGCTCTTTAATGAACAGAGACTGTCCAAACAGTTTCATTCAGTAGCGGCCCACAAAATTCATTCAAAAGTGGCCCACCAGTTTCATTCAATAGCGGCCCACCAGTTTCATTCAATAGCGGCCCACCAGTTTCATTCAATAGCGGCATTCAATAGCGGCACACCAGTTTCATTCAATAGCGGCCCACCAGTTTCATTCAATAGCGGCACACCAGTTTAATTCAATAGCGGCACACCAGTTTAATTCAGTAGCGGCACACCAGTTTCATTCAAAAGTGGCTGTAAAAACGCTTTCCGTTTTTGAGTTTGGGTTGCCGTAAGTCCGCGTTCAGGTTTTAGGATAACCACGGTTTCAACAACAAATTTCCTTTTTATTGAATGAAAAATTGTATCTGTAAGAACATAAATATATTAACCCTATATACTTCAATGTATGCTTGTAATATTCAAATATAACAAATGATAATCAAAACTATAAATAAGTTATATGAAGGCATAAATCAACGCACCGAAATATTGTGGGCAGTTTTGACGCGGGCTACGAACCACTGATCTGACACGAAACTATTCGATACGTCGTTGACTAGGTCTTACACTCTAAAGGTCTGATGAACAAGTAAATCGTAGGAGCGCATAAAAAATAGACTATTAAAAACTAAGCTAACAAAAGGTTCGCTAAAAATATTTACAGTGGCCCACCAGTTTCTTTCAAAAGTAGCCCGCCAGTTTCATTCAATAGCAGCCCACCAGTTTCATTTATTCAGTTAAATACGAACTAACCAATTCACACCACCGTCATTTGGTAAGTATTCACCGTACGTTTAGGTTCATGAAAGTAAACTATTTGCTCACTTGGAAGCGGCCACGGATGTCTTGCTGGGCAGGGTCATCCTTGCTGCTTATGATGCGTCCTTGTCGGTTGACGGCGTTCGAAGACGGACCAGAAAGCTGTAATAAATATAATTTTTCACGATAACAAATTATTTATTGAATTTGGAATAGTAATAGAAAATTTAATTATTTAAAATAACATATATAAGCCCAGTAATAATTATTGATATCAGAATGTCCGTTGATATGCGTAGCAATACAATGCCTATTAATATTAATATCAGTAGTAATGCGTTAAAGTCCGTTGCAATAATGTATTAGGAAATGTTGACTGTATTTTCTTATAATCACGTTTAATCGATAAGTTAAAGTGTTTGCTTGCAGATATTTTACAGTTTGATATACTGAACGAATCATTAACACTGGCTTCATCTAGCATGACCCTTCATTATGACATTAATTCATGAGCCAATACAATAAGTCATATTGAAATGATTTATGATAAGTTTTAACTTTCGCAAGTTCAGACAAAAAATTTAAACGCTTCAATTTTATTTACTAGGAAGTATTGTCAACCAAATCCCGCAACACCACCTAGGGTTTGGTCACGTTATACAGCATTACCACAGTCATGGATCTAAAAATGAAATTCTCGTTTTCTGTAGCAAATTCATTGTAGAAAACTTATCTTATAGCACTGATATAAAATAGAAATATTTTCACTGGAGAAATATTTTCGTTCTTAAATCGTTATAATTCAGTCGTAACTTACAAAAACTGCATGTTTGACATGAATGAAAAAATTAGTTTATTCCAGCAATGTTTCGCTATAAATAGAAAATAGCGTCAGCTAGCTTACTATCTGTAAACATTTAACAGATACACAAAAGATGAGAAAATATCTATTTCATTTATTTCCATTTGGACCATTTCAAAGAATGAAGGATTTCTGAGAGGTTGATTGTTTGGAAAATGTTTAATTTTTTGACGTGAACACTAAATAATATGTTACTCACCTCCTTCCGTCCGCTGCCGGTGCGCAGGGCCTCGGGGAAACCGTTGCTACTGTGGTGCAAATAAAAATTAGTTAGCTAATAAATTATGTGTTATCTAATGAAATAAATTATAATCGCTAGCTGGATTGTGATCAGAAGAAAGTAAAAATAATCGTTCTTACCAGAGTGTCAGAAAACTGAATCCGAAATTTTGAAGTTTATATACCCGGTTGTCGAACAAATTGGCTCCATGAACTTGGGGCAACGGAGTTGTTAAGATCAACAAGATTTGAGCAGCGACTTGGGGCTTCGAGACCCGAAACAAGCTGTGAAAATTCTAGTGGCAATAGGCAGGGTCGATAGCTGGTAAAGTATCGACAACTACAGCCTGATCAGTGCTGAAAGCACCATATTATAAGTAGAGGTGGGCAGTAGCGCGCTACATGTAGCGGTAGCGGTAGCGGCGATACATTTAAGCCATTGTAGCGGTAGCTGTAGCGCCCGCTACATATTTAAGTAGCGATACGAGGTTTTGCCACTGCAGCGCTACCGCTACATTCATAGATAAAGCTTTTAGATTTTACGTAATAGTATAAAATATTATTTAAAAACCAGCATGATACATACATAATATAAATTACAGAATAAAACTACGAAAGATTTCGGTGTAATGTTGTCAACCTCAGCCTGTTACTAGTGTTAACATGTAACTTGTTACCAGAGGTGGGCAGTAGCGGTAGCGGTTGCGGTAGCGGCGCTACATTTAAGCAATTGTAGCGGTAGCGCCCGCTACATTTAGAGCATGTAGCGGTAGCGGTAGCAGTCGATATACATTTCAAATTAGCGCTGCCCAGCTCTGATTATAAGTAGGATACTGAACTTGTGACTTAACTTATATAAAAGGAATGTTTGCGACCGTGTGAATTTTAGGATCAGCCATGCAGTTGAAAGAAGAGCGAGCTTCTTGACAAGACTTGCCGGTGAACTGCGTGTCTTAAAATTCGGCTTAAAACTCGTCACAAAACTCTGCTAGCGTGATGGTATAGAGCAGCGTGCCCAGACCAGACAAAAGGCGCCTGGGTGATAGTAATGAGGCTGTAGACGGAAATAGACAGAACACGTCCAACGTTACATCCGACGACGACTCGGAGACGGAGGACGACGAAGGCGGCGCATCAGCGTGACCGGGGACTAGGAAGTCCCGAACTCATCATAAGGTCATAAGGCTTACCTGACAGAAGGGGTGAGGTTTGAGCGCTGTGACGTTGGGGGCGATGCAGTGCGAGGGTCTGTCACGAGGACGGTGGAGATGGGTCCTGACAGGTCTACGTTACAGACCACGTTACGGGGCCAATCGCATGTCTGCAGATCGTGACTGCAGACAAATAGAAAGGCGTAAATTTAATAGACGATCAAATGGCAGGAAATTCACATAAAATCTGACGGTAGATTTTAAGATTTCAATAATTGTCGTGCTTCAATAATTGCTACAGATCGCAGAAGTTAATGATGATTTCGAGCTCTATTAGTATTACTACTATTAGAACCATTGTATAAGCGTGGGATGAGATATTCCTGATGATTGCATGTGTTAGTCAAAAATATATTAGAGATAATTCAGGTAAACATGTCTTAGCAAGAACAATTAAGCACGTTCACCAATTCAATTAATAAGCGTGAAGCAATTAAAAACTCAACCAATCTCTCGAAGCAATTCGGTATCTCGACAGAAGCCCAACAAAGCGTTAAAGTTTATTAGAAAATATTTCTCAGGAATCTGTGGAATGATAACTACCTGTAGACAAGTCCACCGGAACAGGACTCCTGCAAGGCCCCGCCGAAGACACAGACGTAGTACTGCGTGCAGTCTGTGGGGTGCTGGTAGTAACCGAAGTCTTCGGGACAACTGAAGTCCAGCACCTCGGACTTGCCTGCTGGCAGTCTGTTCCGCCGACGCACCGCCCCTCCGCTGCTGATGGAGCGCTCTTGTTGGGCCAAACTTGCGCCTGCAACCCAAAAAATATAACTCAGTACTCACTGCAGTGAGTGACGGAGAGCGCATTTTCTAAAAATCGATGAAAACGTGGTCCCGGACAGACGGACGGACGGATATGACGAGCACAATAGGGCATTTTTTCCATAAATGAGAAAATGCGCTAAAATAGAGTCGTGAATTTTTGAATCGATATTATAGGTGACTCAGTTAAAGTTGGCAAGAATAAATTGAACGCTTAATCCTCGGTTGGTACCAGTGAAATATTGCTAGATCTCGAGCAATCATTCCATTAAAGTTGAGACTTCTTTTGATGAGCATTTTTGGATGGCCATCTGCGACTATCGTCGGCTATAGGGTATATGGTCCGGCCAGGGCAAGATTCCTCGAGTTCACAGGGGTAACCGCTTGGAGAACTGGCGAACGCATTGACGAGTGGCCACGTAAAGAGAGCCGTCAAGAACGTAGGCCTGATGCAATTCGGACACATCCCGTCATTGTGAGTCTCAAAACCCACATTCCGAGAGTGAAATTATTAAAGTCGACCATGACAATGAATGCCACTAAGATTCGGCGTGGATTTCGCCCTAAACTTAATTAAAACATTTAGTAAGATGGGAGAAATCCTGCTAAAGATAAGAAATGCCTTGAACTGCAAGAAGAAGTGCGGTTAAACCATATATTTTTGGTTGGAGAAGAAAATTCTAATGCGATATAGTAGCTTACAAAAGACGGATGATCAGTGATGTATCGCCTCATCGACCCTGGTTCTTTGCTCCAAGATTTGCGTCGGTCCAACTCTAGTTTCACCCAGCATATCACGTCATAAGTTTTTGTCTTGCAGTTTTGAAATGTCTCTCTTTAGGAAAAAGTTCCATGAAGTATATCAGGAAATCGCGCCTGTTAAAAACTTGGCCATTTATGACCATTCCCAAAGTATGGCTCAGCGTCGAACGTCATATTCTCTATTTTATGCATCATTGCGACACACAGGGCGATCCACCTTACGGACGCATCTTCTTTCAGCTCGTGCTCCCGTTTGAAAAAATTAAAAATTATGTTTTTCTGACGTACCCTTGAATAGTTTTTTTATGAAATGAAATTGTGGTGTTTAATCAGACATTTAAATCATTGATGTTGTTAAGATATTATGAATAAAAGTAACCAAAATTTGTTCCATTTCGTCAGTCTGGATAGCTAGGTTTTAGATCCTGGATTGAATGTTGCCCAGTCATGTAGATTATTCATATCTTTTCCTGGCCATCGTCAATCCTTTTTAATCTATCCATGTGACTTCAGCTAGTCGAGTTATGGTCATCGAACGTTCATTCATTTGCCCGATAATATTTCTTCTATGATGAAGCATACAGACAGTGTCAGGACTGGATCTTCTTATGCAATTTTTAAATGCATTAAGTCAGTTCAGGCGCAATATAAATTAACGCCACACGTAGTGGCGTTAATTTATCAATAAAGGATAATTCCTCAAAGTTCAAAACTCACTAAATAACTAAATTAAGGTTCATCGCTTTAGCATATTTTATTAATTTCCCACTAAATCAAGTTGAGAACTAGCCCTAACTCACAACCACCACAGGATTCAGAACTAATCTTTATTTCAGCCTCAAACCTTGATCTTGCTTTCAATGATATATTTAAGACGCCGGATAAAGATATTTGAGCTAATACCATACCGGACAAAAGGCGATATTCAAAATTGTATTGAAATCGTGAAATTCATTGATGGCATTCACTCAGCGCCAAGACAATAAAAATGAATAATTCTTGATCTGATATGAGATAAAATTACACTAATTACATAGATTGGAGTCATTTTGTTGTTTATTTAAGGGCAGTTTATTTGACTATTGATGTTGTCATGACCAACCGTATGGCATTAAAATAAATTAAAGGCAATAAATTGTAGTGTTTAGATAAAAATAAAAAACGTTAATCAATTTCTACTGAATAGATTTCAAATGTAGGGAGCATTCAAAGGCCGAGGACTTTCTAATGAAAAACTTGAGCCAGAGAAAAGAAAACTCGATTTTTAATAACTACTCCATAGAACTTGACTCGTATAGGAAACACGTCAGATGACTCTAGGCGCAAAACAGCTTTACATTTTAAAATCATTCAAAGAATTTAAAAGCTGCCGCTAATCGTTCTCATGAACCTTGATTTTAAATTATCTTCAGAATAAAACACCATTTATGATTTCCATTTACCCGCTATTCAGAAGAACGATGTGCATTACAGTCAAGTCACAGGGTTTTGCCGACATCATTTTAGCTCCAGGTGATCAAACAGTCGTCTTGGGCTAGTCATGCGATCTCGCCCGTAACCTTCCTCTAGTGCAGACGTCTTGGCAATACTGCACTTTCTATGCGAGCTACTAATGCCCGTGAGGAAACGGTCTCGAATTCTGAACCAAGGCCACCGCATACAGGGGCACCACCATGGGTACTGTAACTTTCATATCCCCAGGGTAGCCAATCAGGGCTCACCTGCGCTCATCTTCTGAAAATCACTTTTCTCTTCCACTGAGATCACGCAATCTTTAGTTTCCGGAATTCTTAGGTTCAAGGTCCAACTTCTCAAGTATTTCACTTTTGTTATTTTCATACTGCAAAACTTTATTATTAAATTTCTTCATCTAACAACACTAGAACCAAAATGCCGCACTAATTCAGGCATAGTAATTGGGTTTGTGTTACCTTCGATTTGTCACTATGAAATGACTTGTATTTAATCCGATTAGCGAATTAAATTTTTTAAATTCATGGAATTCGAAGCCGGTAGCACGATTCCATGCCAGTTAAAAAAATGAACGCAATTCCAACAAGTTGACTGTTATAAATTAATGCAATCACATCGTACTCATTACCATTAATAGTTTTTTATCAAAATCTTCTATCAATCATGCACTTTTTCTGGACGTTATACTCGTAGAATATATTGGGTTCAGTCATAGTTCAGACTGTCTTGAAATTTATGCAGAATGATCTAAATCATTTATTCAGAATCAGCTCACCGTAACAAAATGAAGTGGCGAATTACAGAGAAAAAGACTTCGCTCTGTCATTATGAGAACAGCGTAATGCATCTTGAATCCCACAGGCAGCTTCCCATGGGTAGCAAAGGCAAAATGCTCTAACTTGACCAGCTTGACGTTACAACAAGTATGCAGTAACGAGGATAACAATCTTACAGATGACAAATTTTCATCGCAAATAATTTTGTTACAGAGAATTATCCCGTGAATAACTTAAAAAATGCACTTGCAGAACGACAAAAAATTTTCAGGTAATTTGTCGAATCAGAATAATTTCCTGAATTTTTATCAGAACAAATTCTGAATCTAAAGTTAGACCTAACTATTAGCTACACAAGATTCACGATTAATAGATTCATCCTCTGTAACTGAAACCCTGATTTTCATTGCCAATAGCTAATGCGCTTACTCACCAGATAACTTCCATGGACAAGAAAATTAGTAAGCAAGGTTGTATTGATGAGATACATTCCTGGAAATACCATAAGACAAGACCAGCAATCTCATGCCAGTCAGTCCTATAAATACCATAAGACATGACCAGCAATCTCATGCCAGTCAGTCCTATAAATACCATAAGACATGTCCAGCAATCTCATGCCAGTCAGTACTATAAATACCATAAGACATGACCAGCAATCTCATGCCAGTCAGTCCTATAAATATCATAAGACATGACCAGCAATCTCATGCCAGTCAGTCCTATAAATATCATAAGACATGACCAGCAGCTCCAGCACGCAATAAAGCTATTCTCTGTAGCTTCTTCTACACAAAGAAGACCTTAAAACGAACGCGTGGAAGATCAATTGCATACACAGGATTTTTTCAGTCGATCGTAACCGTCCTGAACGCAGCAGTAAGATCGTGGGAACAGCACACTCATTGCAGCTTCGGTCCTACAAAATCATTCACTCGAGGGAAGAGTCAACGTATCATTCATTCATTCGCGTATCATTCATTACGGGCTGGTATGAATATTATTAGTTAGTGTTTATTTCCCATGCCATTAAAGAAAATATTTAATTGTTTGCCCGGATTGAATAATTTTATCAAAAGTGATGAAAAATCTAAAGCAGGATAAATCAGAGACTTCATTGTGTATTGATGTTTAGTTACTAGAACGCGCTATAATTAGTTTATGGCGTGGCTTGGTAAATAATAATTTCATCATTCGCGATATTTTAGAATTTATATAATAGATAGCAACTGTATAAAAATCAATTAGTTCGAATTTCAATTAGACAGATATATAAAACACGAATTAGATGTGAAGCCTGACCTTTGTTTTCAGAGCTTCATGAAGCGCCAGTTTGCCATGATTTTCATTGCAAAACATCTTGTATAGATCGCAGGGAGTATAATAACTTTAATTGCGGCTCATATGTTACAGCAATTTAAATTAGTGACCTCATTTACAAGGTGAATTACAACTTAATTACTTTTTAATGAGTATTCGACTAACTAATGATGATCTGACCGTAATTCGGAAGGGTGATGACGAGAGAACTCTCATTATCACTGGTCACGGATACGGCACTAAATAAGTTTCATGACGTGCCTATAAATAAAAAGTTCAGAAACTTATTAATAAGAATATAACTAAGGAATGAGGTCAGCATAGAATGTATGGCTGCGAATGTAGATGATCAAGCTGTAGATACCCTATTTAGGTAATTATTAAGAGTCTCTTGACATTCCATGTTAATGAGAAACTAAAATTACATGTAACTTAATCTTGTTCATTGACGGGCTGCACCTAAAGCGGCATAATTAGATTATTTTCGCCTAAATGTTTACCTTTGCATGCGTTTAAGGCCATTTTTTCCATGAGCTCGCGACCTTTCTGTCACTCTCACTCCATATCCCAACTTTGTTTAATTTTCGACGCCTATAAGAGAACATTATCAAAGGCACGGTCCATATGCGTGGGGTGCTGGTACTAAAATGCAGCGTAC